GGTGGTGGGTTGAGTTGGGAAGTTGGTGTCCGAGTGGATCGAAGTCACGACAACTCAAGTGGTAGAGCAGCGGCGTATTTAGCCTAAGGTCGTGGGTTCGAAACCCTCTCGTGACACTGACTTTTTTATTTCAACTAATACCTTACGTAAAGTTTAATTAATTGAATTAACATTAATGCTTGTATTTATTTATAGTATAGTATTTTCGGGAATGGTGATCCTCCATCTAGTGATGACTGTTTCTTCAGATTTGTTAAAATGATGGGTCAAATGTAATACATTAGAACTAGATATATATTTTTACAAATACGATTTAAGTTTCAAATAAATAATTTTTGTTTCGAATTTTCGGTTACTCTAAACTTTACAAGAAGAAGGAAATAACAATTTGAACGAGGTTACACAAATCCATCCTTTCATAACAAATGTATCAACAACTAATTAAGGTTTTTAGTTGAGATGAAAAAAAGCTAATGGCACGAGAGGGATTCGAACCCACGACTTTACACTTTACACGACATTTGAAAATTGGCAAAAGGAGGGAAAACTCATAAGGTGGGGTTGAGATGGGGAGTTGATGTCCGAGTGGATCGAGGTCACGATAGCTCAGGTGGTAGAGCAGCGGCGTATCTAGCCGAAGGTCGTGGGTTCGAATCCCTCTCGTGCCATTAGCTTTTTTTCATCTCAACTAAAACCCTTAATTAATTGTCATGTATTAATTGGTCAAGCGGACCACGAAAGTAGAGAATTAATATATCAACAACGTGTATATGAATATTGAAATTGATATTTTGCCCAATTAGTCGGTGTTTCATTTTGATTAAAAGTGTTTATTGTTATATATGTCTATTAGGTAGTAATTAAATAAATTTGGACTCTTTGAACGTTGTTTTTTTATTGATGTACACAAAATGTAATGTAATTATAATTTTTCACATCTTATTGGGATATAAAAAGACAACTGCTTTCTATTTGATTTTATTTAAAACAGTTAAGAAATAAATACGCAAATAGATATCAACTAAGATTTTACATTATTATAATAATTATTAATTAAATATATATTTTTATATGTCATTTGTTAAATATGATAATCATTTGAGTAAATATACTTGCACAAAAACTTAGATAAATTACAGGGAGTTAAACACCAATAGTGGAATGCCTCACTTAATTCGGAACGAAATCAGAACTTTTCCAATTTGTACGGGAGTCATTCTAAAATGGCCCATTTTGATATTTTTATATATTTTTTTAAGAAAATAAATTCTAAATTTAATGTCATTCACAGCAACATATTGTCACAAATGTTTTCAAGGAATTTTACCAACATGCCGGTTAATACGAGACATAAAATGGATATACTTCGATGAATTTTTTGTAAATATTATTTTTTTGCAAATATTTTTGTTTTATAGGAATAAAGCCGAATTTATACCTGTTGCTACATATTTTAGGTAAACATTTATATGGTATTAATTTCCAACCTCATTTTGTAAGACATTAAATTATATTGTTTCTTCAGTTATATTTATTTATTTGATTTTTCAATTTTTCAATCTGACGGCTACCACAGGGGCACCTAATGTCTCCTTCTTCCGCTGTTTTCATTCCGATTGCCCCTCCTTGTGCTCACCTTCGGAAGTCTGCCTCCAGGAATTTTTCCCCCACCTCGTACTCCTGCACACAAAAATTAGCAGTGAGAAAATTTGTGGTTGAAAAGGCCAAATAATTTCTTTTATGTGAAGTTTCTATACTTTACTTCACATTTTCGTAGAAGTATTTCTTACTAAAGAAGTAAAGGTAGAGAAAAATGAGTGAATATAAGAAAAATTATGTTTATATTTAATCTACATCTAATATTTAAAAAATGCATGCTTATTAAATTGTATAATTTCAAATGTGGTATTATATTATTAAAGATGACTGTTTTGCGACCTTAAGTTAAAAAAATATTAAGAGGTAATTCAATTAATTAAGGTTTTTAGTTGAGAAAAAAGTCAGTTTCACGCGCGGGATTCGAACCCACGACCTTCAGATTAATACGCCGCTACTCAAGTGGTAGAGTAGCGGCGTATTAAGTGCTCGTGACACTGACTTTTTTATCTTAACTAAAAACCTTAATTAATTGAATGATATTAATTGGTCAAGCGGACCACGAAAACAGGGAATTAAGAGGTAAGTTGGTTTTTTAAACTTACATACTAATATTTTACTAAATATGAATTGAAAACTGCCTAATTTTTCTGACGTGAAAAGCCTAATGATATTATGCATTTCTCAGCCTTCCAATGATAGTTAAACCTGATCAATAGCTTTTTATATTAGAAATATAGTCGAAGAATATTTCAATAAAGAAAAACACTAGTTTTTAAATTTTCAACAAATCTCACACAACCCAATGAACAGGGATTTTTATTACTATTGAAGACCTACAATTAGCACTTACTGAAGTTAACATCTTCCTCAGTAAGCAAATCCGTTTAGAAATTATCCAAAGGCGAGTTTGGAAAAGAGCAAACAATAAAACTACTGAATCCTTATAATAAATATTTATTTTAAAATTGTTTCATGATAAACTGGTACAGTTAAGCAAATTCACATCATTGTTTTTTTGGTTTTTTTCACAGTCGCTTTCTTCAAAATTCTGTTTCCAGTTGAGGAGTCAAGTCTCAGTAGATGTTGATATGAAAAGGGAGGGTTTAATGAAATTAATTTGAACCTTCCTTATGTTGATATTTTTATTTTATCCCATAAGTATAAAGTTAATTGGAATTCAGTTTCGGGTCAGTCCTCAGAACAGATAAGGTCCGTATTGTCGCTTGAGTTTAAGATGATCTAATGTCGCCTCCTTCCGCTGTTCGAGTTCCTGTTCCTCGATCTTGATATCACCTTTGGAACCCGTCCTCCGGGGATCTTCCCGCCTCGTACTCCTGCACACACAAACGCATAAACCATAAAAATTATAGGAACAAATATTTGTTCAGGGCCCGGAGAATGCATGGTATATTTCAAACATGTTTCAACTTAATCTTATAGAAAAGGGAATGTTTACATGAACACCCTGTGCATGGAGAAAATTATTACTTACCTCGTTTATGTCTTTTGCAAACTATTAAAACATGAAATAATCATACAAAATTGTGATTTTTTATTAATTAAATATTTTAAGGTGTTTCAGTTTGATTAGCTTAAAACACCCATAGCATTGCAAACATATTTATCTTTATAAATTATATAATAATAAAAAAAACTGTATGGAATAATTTTCATGATTCATTCATTTATTCTATAAAATGCAACAAAACAACCACATTCTTACTAATTTATTTTAACGTGCATTATTTTGTTTATGAACATTGGTGATATTTTATTGAAGAACTCTTTTTGTATTAAAATCAATGCATTTCGAGGTAATTCCAATAACCCTCGTTCAGCTGACGATGTTTCGGCTTAAATTTTAAACATCGTCCGCTGAAAAAGGAGCTATTGGTATTACCAAGAAATTGATTTATTTTAATAAAGAGAAAAAAATGGACTTTTCAATAAAGTAACACTTATGTACTTGGATCAGTAGGAACGAGTAAAGAAAAGAAACCTAGAATTATTATTTTTATATTTTTGTTGTATAACTTTGGTTAGTTTTTTATATTGTAGTTGGTCTTATTGTCGTTAACATATGTTTTTTTAACGCCACTCCTACCACTTTTGGTTTCTAAAAATAGCCCATTTTTATATTTCTATCAGCATGTCCAAAAAAGTTAATTTAATGTGCTATCTTCATGATGAAAATGCTGCCACTTACCTTACGCTTTAAAGTTTGAACAAATTTTTTGCTTTGCTCTTTGATCCTGGCATCAAATGGTATCAATTTTCTGAAAAAAACGATGCCGCTTTTTCACCGTGTCAATAAAAGCCATACATCACCGCATTTTATTTTGTAAAAGGGCCAATTTTAAGTTAATGTTACCTAAGAACAATTGTTAACTTTTTTTGACAAATTTTACTGATGATCAGTTAAGTTTATTATCATATCTTAATACCTTTTTTTTACGTAACCTCCTCACTAGACGTCTATGTATTGGTTCGGCAATATTTTTATGTTTCAAGCAGAATAAAAATTGAATTGAGTAATAACAGCTCGAGCTAGCCAAAATCATATTTATTCTGAAATGTTGTGTAATTAGATCGTACAATGTTTTTAGATTAATAAAACTAAACTAATGAGATATTAAAAAAATATGCTAAACAAAAACATGAGTACACTCCAAACAAGTCAAATGATTAGAAATTTGGAAAAAAATGGCTGAAATTTTTAAAATGCTGATCGCAGTAAAAATCGTAATCGTGATAAGCGTCAAAGTGCAAAGCTAAAAGAGAATTATAGAAATTTATTCGAGGGCGTCGGTGGCCGCAACGGTTTAGGCGTTGACACGGCGCTCATCACTGTAAGGTAAAGGTCCAGGGTTCGAACCCGACATACAAAGGGGCTTTTTTTCAAAAACACCGGCACCCCGAGGGTTGATATAACCTCTGCTGTTGCGAACCCTCGTTAAAAAAAGCGAAACAAAAGAAATTTATTTGAAACATAATTATTATCTTCCGATTAAAACTGAGCTCAGCGTGGTTTTTGGAAAATAATCAATCATATATAATGTACTAGTTCCAGATTTTATATTAACATGATTGACGACATGTTTAGCTTGAATTACAAGAACATTGGGAATATTTTACTAAGCATATTTTCTATAACTAAGGTCTTTTGTTATATTAAAACTTATCTTTTTGCAATAATTAATTTTTACGATAATAATGAATGTTAAAGATGAGTATCACTTTTGGTGATATTTTATTTTGTTTTAATTTGGGAAAAGAAAACAAAGAGCTTTTGGTTTTTATTTTATTTAAAATAGCTATTAAATAAATTTATCGATGGGTAATAACTATGACTCCATTTTTTTATTAAACATTTATATAATAATTAATTCGATCGGGTTTAATTCGTCTCAAATGAGAATACAAACTGCATGAAAAACAACTGAGTGAAAATAGAGTTTATTATTTTATTAGCAATAATAAATTGAAAGTGGTAGGTTTTTAAGAAAATAAATTTAAAAGAACTTAAGCCTTTCACGGCAAACATATTGTTCAAAAACATATCAGTCGATTTTTATTTTGGTCATAATTTAAACTCAACATATATGAACATATTTACTTAATACAATTTTTGTAGTTGTTAATATCAAATAAATGTAATAAAAAAACGTCATAATATAACGGTTCAGAAGGAGTTTAAATTAACTATTAAATAATTCACTACTTATTAACAGTTATTGTCACTGGTTACAATGAAAGATGGGACAGAAATGAAATTGGATTTACTGGTCTACAATATTTTCACCTTAATAATTTTTTAACACAATATTGAATTTGATTTTCGTAAATTTCGTTATTATTTCGAATATTAAATATTTCGATTTTCTTCCTAATTGTTGTTTTCTTATTTCTTGCTTGGGAACGTCTAGTATCTCCTCCTAGAGCTGTGCCTATTCCTCGACCTGGAAGGTTTCGGAAGTCGACCTCCGGGTATCTTTCCAACGCGGACTCCTGCACATACACAAACACGCTCTAACCACAAGGAACAAGCCAAAACAGTAAAAATCAAAATGTATTTTTTATAAGCCTCACCAAATTGGCCACCGTCTCCCAATATGACTTGGGAAATAATTACACCTGGGACAGGGTTTCGGATTATCCTGGCGTAAACAAATAAACAGACAGAAGTGACATTTTACCAACACCAGCTGTGTATTGATTCGTTGAAAACAGATTCGGAAACACCAAACTACTTCATCTTAAATAAATCTATTTTTTTTCAAGCCTTAGATTTTTACCATGACACCTATATAGAATAGTGGTAACTAAAAATTTTGAATTCACTAGGTTTCGTGGTCCACTTGACCAAATAATATCGTTCAATTAATTAATCTGTATTTGAGTTATTGATTGAGATAAAAAGTCAGTGTTACAAGCGGGATTCGAACCCAAGACCTTCGGCTAATACGCCGCTGCTCTACCACTTGAGCTATCGTGACTTTGATCCACTCGGACACTAACTTCCCATCTCAACCTCACCTTTTGAATTTTCCTTCCTAAATTTTGAATTATTTTTCGACCATTTATGAGAAAAATTTCAGACTATTTTCTGTATGAAAATTCTACGAAGAAATGGGAAACGAAAATCAAATAAAAAAGTGGATCTTGTGATGGCCAATCTTAACGTTTGACGACTTGGACATTGATTAAATAGTTTTTTTAGAACTTTACATGTTAACCTAAGTCTAGTTCGTATATCAATAAACTAAGGGTAAAAAGTAAAAAAGTTAAACTGTTCCTGTTTTAGAAAACATCCTGCATTACTGTGTTAGAAGAATGTCTGAACTATCGTCCAAAATATATTATCCTAGTAATGCCGTAAGCGTTTGTCTTCAAAGGGAGAAAAGACTCTCCAGCTCGAGGAAGCAGTCTTGGCAGTTCAGAGACAAATCGTTGACAAGTTTGATAGGGTTTTAAATTGAACAATGACCCCTTGAGCTCCAGCAGAATCCTAGGAATCCCAAGGCGCTAAGAACGACAGAAACGGCCCTATTAAAAAAGCAATCACGGGCCTCGAACATTCGGGGAGTCGGGCGTTTTTCTAATTTCCCGAGGAATTTTGATTACCAACATTCGGTCGATTTAATTAATCCCTGGGCTGAACGTTTCCTGAAATCCTGGGCTTAGTACTTTCCGCCGATTCGGCACACCTAAGATCTCACAAGTCTCGTCTGTAAACAACCCCTGGGCAATTTCGAAAAATAAGATTGTTTTAGCAGAAGAAAACTGTTATCAAATCAAAAAATTATTAACGCCTTTTCATCAACCACTCCTTAAGCGAGCCCATTTGGTTGTCGTAGTTGTGAGATTACCACAGATTCGACGTTATTGTAAGTCGTAATGATCTAGGGCTGCTAGTTAGACGGTACTGTCAAATAAGCCATCAATCATAATACATTAGTTAGAACAAAAGGACACGGCATCGATAAGGTGGTTGACTCTACTTCCCAATAAATTTAGCAAAACTAACTTTTTAGTGAACGATTCAAATGGGATAATATCCCTTTCGTAAGATTTCTCTATTAGAAACTCTCACCTTTTTCTGGGAGAATTTCTCCAGATGTAATTAATGAGAGGCCTTCGATTATATTTATTTGTTAATAAATAATCTGATATGAGGTTAAATATTGAAGTAATAAACCATACGATTCATCAGATCCACAGTGCATTTTATTTTTAAACTATTTTTTTTCTTGTGTCTTCTATATCTTCTTCAAAGCAAAATGTTTTCATATGCTTGCAACTTTTATAAAATGGGAAGCATACGATTCATCAGAACCAGTGCATTTTGTTTTTAAACTATTTTCTTTTCTGTATTTTTTATATCTTCTTTAAATCAAAAGGTTTTCATATACTTGCAACTTTTATAAAATGGGAAATAGGTCGTTTTTGTTGAAAGGTGAACAAAATTTATTCTTATTATATATACACAATAAAATCGAGGGATGATAATTCATGATTATCTAAATCCTGGTAACCTTCGACTTTAGTTTTTTTTTCAAATTTAGGCCCAAAGGTGATTTTTAAAAGACGTAATTTAGTTCCTGAACGCATATAGTTTTTCTTAACTAATAATTACACGAGACTAACGAAAAGTTGGATATGGAGAAAACTAGATTGTATTTTCGTCTCGAGGTGAACACAACTGATTACTGATTGATGATGTTGATGATGATGGATACTAGAAATTGGGGGTTTTTATACTCCAAGAACAGCAGCTTTTTGGCTTATTGTACTTTTTTCGTACCCAACTTTAGTTCATTGCACTCGATCCTTCTCCAAAGACGTACTAGGCCATTGACTGTCGTTGTTAAAATTCCTTTCCCTGGGTATTCTTTTTTTAATTATTATTTTTTATTTCTTTACTTTACGAGGGTTCGCAACAGCAAAGCTTATATCAACCCTCGGGGTGCCGGTGTTTTTGAAAAAAAGCCCCTTTGTAAGTATGTCGGGTTCGAATGCAGGAGCGCAGGATTCGAACCCTGGACCGTGACCTTACAGTGATGAGCGCCGTGTCAACGCCTAAACCATTAAGGCCACCCTCCCGGGTATTCTTCGAATCCTTGGTTATGTGTTCATTGAGCAGTTTTTTTCCATTCGAAAATGAAATGGGTCGTCATCCACATTGCGTAGCGTACAAATTGGATCATCATTGAATATGATCATGTTGTAATGTTTTCTCAGATGCCACTGACCTGTAAATAGTCCTATCAGCCCTCTCTATTTGTAGCAGTGAGAATTTTAGATTACTCTATAATTTATTTTTTTTAGCAATTTTTTTTCAAAGCATTCTTTCTTTGATACAAAGTTAGAAAAAAAGATTTTTGATACTTCTAATTTTGTTAACTGGGAAAAGGAAACAAATATGTAGAGATATATTCGTTGATCACAGGTGGTCCTACTTACTTCTAAGTTTTGTTTCCATTTTATTGAGGTTATAGCATATTAAGTTTATTACTTGGGTTTGACATATACTTTTTTGATATCCTTTTAAAGATACATTCCTTAAAAGCTAAAAATATAACGGAATGAAAATTGGCTTCTAAATAACAGTACTGTTAGGCAGAGAACACGAGTAAAGCCAAATGAACGTCTATTAACCATTTCTTAGGGCGAACTTTGCCCATAGAAGATACTATCTTGGTATTCTTGGTATGGGATTGGCTCGTATCCTTTAGTTGGACCTGCTTCCTGGGAATGAAACGGTCAATTAAATCAAATACTGTTCTTAACAGGACCGACTAAATACAGCTATCAAGAAAGAGCATTAGCTAAATGGAGTCATTTCACACCACAACCCAAGTCCTCATAATATACGTTATTGAGGTTTACTACCTCACCCGTTACATTTTTATCTCTTTGGCCGATAAAAAATAATTAAATAAGAAATTTTTGAGTCAGTAAATCTGCATTACCAGGTTGTCAATTAAGGGTAGAAAAGCTTTTGGGACAATGTCATAATTCATTTACAAAACAATACAAAAAGTAACAATAAGTCAATAAATAATTATTGATTATATAAAAAATAACTCAACCATGATTATGAGAACAAATAATGTTCGTTGCCTTAATGATCCCCACAAAATTCATTAACTCTTACAAAATGTCGAAGGAGTGAAATTTCATTTTTTTTATTATACTCGTATAGGTGTGTTTGTGTAAGGCAAACCATATATAAATGCCAGTTTATATTAAGTCAACAAAACGTTGTAATATTTATTCTTACACCTTGTAATAGCTAGGTATTAAAAGGTCAATATTTACAAAAGCATAACAGCATTCAACTCAACTGCTGTTTCAATTTCTTCCACGGTTGGAAATGAAATTGGTAATAACGCCTAGTACAAACACTGCAGGATATATTAATATTGTTATATGGGTGTTATTTTTTTAAACAGAGAAAAAATTGAATTGCCAGTTGAATTGAACCTCTCGTTTAAAATTGTTCATATATCCAGTAAAAATTAAAAAAAAAAATCGACAAGAAATAATTGATTGAAGCTTGTGCATAAAATATTATTCTGTGCATTTGTGAAGAGAAGAATCAAAAACTAAACAACGTTCTACTTTGGGAGGAGGGCAGTGAGGGGGCCTAGTTCGACTGCTTTCAGTGTGGAAATAAAATCAAAGGTGTTTACCTTCCCTGACATGCGACTGCACCTAAAAACTAGCTGTAACAGATAAAAATAATTTTGATTTGATAGAAGATATAAGATTCAAAATATGTTTTTGTAAACGTTTTGACAAATTGAAAACCGTTTGACTAGGTTTTTGTTTATCCGAGTTTTTTCCGAATTTCAGAATTGGACATCCAAATACAGTTTGACTTCTAGTTCAAATTTGTTCAAACTTGACTCGGTTTCGTTAGATTTGAGACGGTAAAACTATAACATTATAGTATTTTTGGGTCCAATGAAATTTTTTCGCTTTAATTGAACCTTTTGTTTTAATGAAACCTGCGGTTTTACGTCTCGTTGTTGCCGGAGGAAGTTTAAAATATGCTGCTAACCAAGCTAATATTAAATGTCAACACTGGTAAATCCTTATTAAGCGAACTATTTCGAATTAGTGGCCAAGAAAAGAGGAGGTTACCGAAGAAAAGTGATTACACCTGAAATCCTGACAACTTTGGAGCGTGTGGTTGAAGAAAATGGTAGACTGACACTTAAGGAAATGAAACGACATCTCTCAACTCTTGGGATTAACAAAGGACTTAGTCCCGGCACCATCAGACACAAATTATTAAAAATGGGGACTGATTATATCCCGGAAACATTCTTCACAACTTCATATAAAGTCTCAACGGACTATAAAGGAGAGGAAGAACACAGGAGAGCATCAGATAGAACGATATGGTATACAGATGGCTCCAAAACAAACGAAGGAACCGGATCGGGCGTTTTCTGTACAAGCCCAAAACATGAGCAATCAAACTCATTAGAGAAGTCCTT